AGTTGTTTCGCTTCAAGATTTGATTAATTTTCTGCCGTTTCTATATTTGCAGATAACTGGTGAGTGGTGGCTAACTCACATTTTCCGGCTACTTTAACTCCGGTCAAAGTTTAAATGCTTGATCATAGTTAAGAACTAGATTCATTAAAGGCCAAATACCTTTAAACTTGTTCATTTTTTTCATTTAGACACCTATACTAAAGGTGATACCTATTGAACACTTAATCTTAATATAAAATGTGTCTGTTCAACACAATTTGACAATCCTAAACCAAGCCAAGCGGGTGTATGTTACTTTCCATTGACATGGCAAGCAATACCAATTACCAAATAACACGTGTTACATCTTAAAAGAAAAGGAGAGAGACACGGCCCTTCTAATGCCTCGTCGTCTTCCCCAACAGAGCCCGCATCTCCTCTACTGTCAATCCCTCATTTCCTCCACAGTCAATACAAAATGTGCTTTAATAATATACTCAGTGAATAACCAAAGAGAAAAAATAGTAAAAACATTGTAGCATCTCCCCAAGTTGAACAATCGAATCAAATTAAACTATGAATCTAGCATTAACATCAGCAACTGCTAGAACAACATCCCAAGCTGCTTCTACAGAAGCAAATGCACACATTTACTGTCTAATGTTATCGAAGTACTGTAAATCAGTGATTTCTCAAGTGCAACTAAATGCTTGCTGGATTGCCTTTGTAATTTGTGGCTACCATCAATAGAGCTTCAAAGAAGCATTCCCTTTCTTTATTACCTTCTGTTTGTTCCTTCGTTTGACTTTGACGAATTGTTCGTTGTTATTCATTTTTATTCCTAGGAATTTTTTTTCCATTTGGAGAAATTATTAAAATGGTTGAAGAAAATTATTCTTTCTTATGATTTTGATGAATCGATCTGTAAAAAGGGAAGAGATCAACGAAAATTCATTTTCCCCGCAAGGTTCCATAGATTCCGGTAGAAAGATATTTTGTACTGGGATTTAGAGCTATGTCACGCTCCTAGAAGCTGTGGTATGCATGCATTGTGCCACCTCAGCAGATTGTGTCTAATAGGTACATTTTTTTTAGAGGTCTAGTGTTCAATGGGTACCACCTTTAGTATAGGTGTCTAAAATCTTTCTAAAAAAAATCTCTCTGGCAAAACGCAATTCGTCGAGTTCAATTCAAGGTGAATGGAAAAAAAGGACAAGTTTAAGGGGCTACATATGTATTTATAATTATGGTTTACGTACTGGATCATTTGAGTTGAAGGTCTATCGGAACAGACTCTCTACCTCCACAAGGTAGTGGTAAGGTCTGCGTATGCATTACCCTCACCAGACCCACATGTGAGATTACACTGGGGCATTTGCATCTATACCCAGTTTTTGGGTCAACTTTTAACTTATACCCGCTTTGCAAAAAAATTTGCAAGCGTACCCACTTTTCGGGTAACTTCTGACATACGGGCCTGAAGTAGCAAGAATTTATGTCTGAAGTTTGAACTTCAGAATGGTTTGCCTGAAGTGTAGCAAAACTTCAGATATTTTTGCCTGAAGTTTGGCCTGACTTGCAAAGGCAATCAGGCAAACTTCAGTTCATAGTGCAATGACAAACTTCAGTTCAATAAAAGTACAATCTGTTTTGGCTGAAATTTGTTTTGTATTTGCTGAACTTAAGCATTCTAGGAGCTGAAGTTTGTTTTGTAATTGCTGAACTTCAGCATTTGTTTTGTAATTGCTGAACTTCAGCATTCTAGGAGCTGAAGTTTGTTTTGTAATTGCTGAACTTCAGCATTCTAGGGCTGAAGTTTGTTTTGTATTTGCTTAACTTCAACACTCTAGGAGCTGAAGTTTTTGTTTATATTTGCTGAACTTCAACATTCTGGGAGCTGAAATTTTTGTTTATATTTGCTGAACTTTAACATTCTTAGAGCTGAAGTTCTGTTATGTCTTTCTTTGAAGTTAGATGGTTTTAGAAAGAGGAATAACTTTCTCATCTTCCAGTAATTTATTTAGGCTAAATCAATGTCAATATTCAATTGTGGAAGATTAAAATATAGTAAATGTCATTTTGTGATTTATGTTCCATCTGACTTTGCACTCTCGTTTCCGTTTTGGAGCTTTCACCTTGATATAATCTCAAAAATTAGAACCCTCCTTACTTTATTCTCTGCCATCGGACTAAATACAGAAATATGAACTCACTTCTTGTGGCAGTAGTACCACATCCAATTAACCAATTAACCCGAAGAAAAAGAAGGAGCGGAAGAAAACGAAGGAGGAGAAGGAGGATGAGAAACAGACGTGAAGTTGTTTAAAAAGTAGGTATAAGTTAAGACTTTTTTAAAAAGTGGATATAGATTAAATGGGGGCGACCAAATAGAGCGATCCGTGCAATTTTTACGATTATACTGGGTTTGTTATTGTTGTTGTACCATTTATCATCCAAAAAGTTTCCTGAATTTTCCTTTTTTTTTTTCACTTGTCTGTTGATTACATCATGATTTCGGGTTGCACAAGGTTGAAATTCCACGCAAGGAAATATTTTTGGATTATGTTCACCTGTTTTATTCATGTAAAATGTGCTTAATTTTTATTTTTAGATGAAAATATTTAGGAGTAAATTTTATGGGTGGTCATTCAGCTTTAGGTTCATTACCCAAAAGTTATTTTTTTTTATTTGTTACGTAAACGTCATTCAACTTTGTGTTCATTACCCCTAAAAGTCACTTTTCTTTCTTTTATTACATCATTTTACTATGCTCTAGTTATCATAATAGTTACTTTGATAATATTTTATAAAACTTTCACCTAAAAAATCTATTATGCCCTTAATATTATACAATCTCTCAAGTATGTAATACCTTCTGTATTATATATAATATATAATGTACTTTAATCTAAGTATTTTAATTATAATAAATAATTTTATATAACTTTAGGTATTATTTTTATAATATATTCGTCTATTTAATTTTTCATGGCACTGAACTTGTTTAATCATATTCAAACATGAAGTTATAATAAAAGCGACAAAAAATTTATTTGAAATAATTAAAACAGATTAACAAATAATAGCTTTTTATTGTTAGTAAAAAAAATTAAATTTTTAAAAATATTCGTGTTTAATATTAAGTTTTTTAAAAGCTTTATTTATTAATATTATTTTTTGTATTAATTTGATGTATCAGTATGCTAAATGTGGGTATTTTGCTGATTGGATTAATGAATATAGATTGGCTAAAAAATCTGTGAACTTTGATTTTATAATTTTATTGTAAATATTTAATTAATAATGTTGACTTGAGATTTGTTCAAAGTAATATTACTGACAAATTTAATAATCTACTAATATATATTGAAAATTAACATGAATACAAAATTAAATGTATAAATATATTATAAAAATAATAAATAAAATAATATTAAGCTATTTTAATTATAGATAAAATATCTAGGTAAAAATATATTATACAATATATAATATAGAAAGTATAAAATAAATGAGAGGATCTATATAATGTCAAGAGCATAATAGACTTTTCAAGTAATAGCATTATAAAATTTAGCCAAGGTCACTTTTGTGATAATTAGAGCAAGGTAAAATGATTTTTATGTAACAAAAAAAAAATGACTTTTAAGTAATGAACACGAAGTTGAATAACTTTTAAGTAACAAAGAAAATAACTTTTGGGTAATGAACATAAAACTGAATGACCACCCATAAAATTTACTCAATATTTAGACTCTCAAGATCAAAACTTGATCGTATAATCGGCCAATTGCTGGTACAAGAGATGGTGATTGAGGAAATTTTATCCGAATATATAATCTTATCTTTATAGTGAGGTGGTAGGGGATCAGGCTGTAGGACTTACGCACATGGTCTAAAACAAGTAGGATTAGGAATCCGTTTGGCTTAATTCTTTTTTTAAGGACTTAATTAAAGATATATTATTTTTAATAAGAAATGGGTACTTGGACTTGACAAATAAAGATTATCAAACTAGAATGTAATGGCAAAAAATGATATTACAATAAAAGCAAAGAACTAGACTACAAACTAGGAGTGCAAATTATAAATATGTATCATAAAATTTTAAAAAAATTATATAAAAAATACATATATATATATATATTTGTAATAATAATTTTTAAATAGGTATTTTTATAGCAGGTTTGATTCATTTTTTAAAATTAATTTTTTGATTCAATATCAAAATAAAACCAATTTGGTCATTTTTGAAAATTCAAGACCAGAATCAAATCAAAAGACTATTAACTTTTTTTTTTCCGTCAGTTTGATTTGATTTAGTTTTTCGTGAACACCCCTACATCTGATGTCTATTGTAGGGGTGTGCACGAGACAAGCTTATAATAACAAGAGGTATTTATTTGGTCACAAGGATAGTTAAAGTGTTTATTTAACAAGGTAGTTAAATGTCAAGTTTAAGTGTCTAGGCATAAGTTTAGATTTTAGCCTTTTTTCTTTAGTAATATTTGTTTTAATTCGTTACAATTATTGTTTTGACTAGCGCGTAATCTCAACATGGGGATGTAGCTCAGATGGTAGAGCGCTCGCTTAGCATGCGAGAGGTACGGGGATCGATACCCCGCATCTCCAGTTCATTTTTTTTATGGGTCGGTTCACTTCACAATTTTGGGATTTTTGTCGCCGTCTCTGCATTTGCAGATAACCGACGATCGACTCACATTTTCCGGCTACTTTATCTTCAGAGTTTAGATGGTTGATCAACGTCTTCTCAGGAGCTAAGTCATTTAATTTTTACTTCTTTTTCGCATTGAACCATTTGTCATCCGAAATTCGCTGATTTTTGTTCTTTCTTTTCTTCACCTTTCAATTGGTATAGGGTTGCATGAGGTTGAAAATCCAGTGAAGAGGTAATTTGTACTACCTTCTCCTGTTTTATTCATGTAATAAAACTGTTCTTATTTTGAATCGTGTATTTTTAGTTTGATTTTAGGAACAAAATACACTAAGATAGAAGTGAATCGAAGCAGACATTATATCTATATATATTATGCATTTGCTTTCTTCATAAACTAATACATGAATTCACAACTTATGCTTTCACATTTAGTGGAGAACTTGTGATGTTATTGAGCATTGGCTGCAAATTTGTTCTCACTGTAGCTTCAGGTTCTTCAGAAGCCTGTTCAATAAGAAATAGGCATGTAAAAAAATTGATCAATGATGAGGAAATAACCATTGTTTATTTGTCTGAGAAACAAATACTACTATTTTTTATAAAGGAAGTTTGAAATTCAGCAAAACATTATCAATTTGAGTTCAGAGATTTGTCCAACTTTATCAGAAGTAACTCTTAATTAGTCCTCTTTTTGCATATATTCTTAGTGCTGCTGACACAGAGGGTGTTTTCTTTCAAGTGTAAGTGCTGCTGAAATTATCTTCTTGATAAGTGACTAATTGGGATTGCTGAAGGGTTATTGAGGAATGTGAGGAGCTCATAAAATATTTGTTGAATCATGTGATGATATGTATGATCAGCACTAGAAACAATTGTATTTTGTATAATGAGGTGGTAGGGGATCGAGATGTAGGACTTGTGCACGTGATCTAAACAAGTAGGATTATATTTCATTATTTAGAAGCTTAATTAATAGGTAAATGTGCAGACATCTCTAAACTTTCCACTTGCAAAAAGTTGAAGCTTTAAGCATTTATTCTTTAGAATATAGGGGTCAATTTTTTTTTTTTTTTTGTATAACAAGGAGAGTGACTAGCCTTTGACTTAAAGTTACTAAAAATGGAAAGGTGGTTAATAAGCAGTACCAGAAATAGGAGAATAACAACATATGGAATCTATACAGGGTATGTAAATTATCAAAGTTACCAAGTTTTACATACTTTGTTTTGTTAACAAGCGTAATAGATAACATTTTGATGGTGTTTCTTAAATCATCTTTGTGAAAATTAATGATTGGCAGATATAACAAAATGCTTAGCCTTAAAAATACAGAATGTATCATTGACTTTTATGTAGATGAAAAGATTAGTTTGGCTGTGTGGAGAGTAGAGATTTGCTATACCTTTGTTCATTGGCATAACCTCTGCTATTGCTTCCAACGGCTTTGTAATTGGGCAAAGGTACTTGGCCATTTTCAATTTGCATGATATCCTTCACAAGCAACTCATAATGCCTCCTCACTTCCTCTGCTGATTTTCCACCTACACACCTGGCAATGTTATGCCAGCGGTCAGGAGTTTCCTTGTCAAATAAAGCCAAAGCCTCCTCAAACTTCTTGTTTTGCCTTGTAGTCCATGAGGCCATTATTGATTAATAGGGATAGAGGGTTGTGAGCTACCTCAGGCAAAGTCAAGTACTCAAGTGAATGGTATGGACAAGATAATGCTAAGCTAGCTAGTTCCTTATAAGCTGGAGGAGTGGTCTTGGTTTCTGGCAAGTTGGCGAATATTTCGTTTTCTTTTAGGGGAGGTGGAATACATGGTTATTGAAGTAATGCTAATGGGAATAGGTGGAAGGAGAATAAGGAAATAGTATTTGTGACTTTGCTTGCTTTATTTGGAAAGTAATGTCATCAGCAAGTGGATCAGATAAGAAATTCACCCAGCTGGAGGAGATTAGATCCCCTAATTCCAATTCTATGGCTATGATAGACGCGCCATTGTTTTATAATATTTAAGCTGAAAAATAATTATCAAGATATTTTGCCAGCTTCTAGGTTGCGAAATGTTGCTTAAATTCTGTGTCAATTGGTAAACCATTTGTCATCCTTCAATTGTTATCTGCCAGTCATTTGTTGACAATGCGTGCATTAACCTAAGCATTGTTGATCTTTATGTTTTGATGATAACGAATTATGACAAAGTGAAAAGAGCTTAAAATAACTCAATTTCATTGTTCTTTAAGTTTTATCATCTTACATTTGAATGGTTATAAGTATTAGGTTGCTTATAGTTGTATCAAATTATGATTCCGAGTTGCAAGTTGGAACAGGCAAGTGACTGCTGCTTATGTTTATTCTCTATAGAAATGGAGTCACCCTGTGCTTATTTCTATTACCGCATCTACAGAATTCCCTCCTTTTGTTTTTTAAGATAAGGTGTAGGTATGCATTGCTTCTTACTAATGTTTCTTGTTATGTTAGTTTCTGCCATAACGGCCTTTCCAGTTTGGATCACATTGAGGCGTTTGTCATTCTTAGATGAATTACTTTTGAGTCAAAGTAGTAGTTCTCAAAAAGCCTCTCAAAATTACCAAAAAGGGGAGAATTGTCCCTTTTAGACCACTTGCTTTGAGACCTTTTTCATTTGAGATACTGTCTGCCAACATGGGAGAGGAGGTGAAGGGACACCTTTTGTCAAATCTGATAGTAGTTAATGTTCTAGCAAAATACTGCAGTAGGAATCTATGTTGTTATACAACAAAGTATCTGATGTTTAAGTATCTCATGTAAATACGGCTGGAGCCTCCTTGTGGTTTTGAAAACCATGTGTTTCCCCCTAACTCTCTTAGTATTCTGTTTTCCTCTAATACCTTGATTTAAATGTCCAAAATATCCTCCATTTCTATGTCAAAAGATTCTATATAATTGATTGAATATTAAGCAACTTATTATTCATTGTCTCTTCAATCTAAAAATAGTATAACCATAAGGTTCTTAGATATATTTACTTAAATTAAGTACTATCAAGTTATCTAGTTTACTGGTATCACTCTCTTTGTTTCAAAAAGGATGTCACTATTGCCATTACTCCGTTTAGAAAAGAAAAGAATCTTTCTAAATTTGGAAACAATTTAACTTGAATTTCTCATTTTTCCATTCATGACAAGCTTTTACTTGGGAAGAAGAAGAATTAGATTTTCTTTTTACATACATTTTTAGTGGGAAAAGTGTGCAACTAGTGGCGAAGCTAGGAATTTTCTCAAGGGTAATCAAACTTGAAAGAAGTGAAAAAAATTTCCTGACAAAGATTGTTCAATATATGTTATAAGTGTGTGCAACACTTATATCAGGAGACTATCTGGAAACAGAAGGGAGCTCTCAGCTTATTTCTACACCATATGTAGGTAATACGCAAGTTCCAAAACCGCAGAGAGTTCATGCCAACTAAGACCTACTTACTATGGAAACTTATTTATTTGAGATATCAATGTTTGAATCTGCAATGAAGTAGAAATTTGTTTTAATTATCTGGTAGGAAGTATGTTTAACAGTCAAGATGAAACAAATCTTGCACGTCTCTCTCGTCCAAAAGAAAGGTCTTATCTAACAGAGATGATATCAGTGACTTCTCAAAAAATCAGAGGAGCTGAGATTAGACCTTTTAACAATTATTCAGTCGTATGCTAGTTAAAAAAGCTTGAGGAGCACACTAATGCTGGAATATTTGGATATGCCAAAAAGAGAATATTTTGTTGAAAAGATATATACTGATTGAATCAACAAATAAATTTGCCACAAATAGAATAAGCAGGTGGTTTTACTTCATTTTCTTTCCCTTTCTTTTTATCTTTTTCTTTTCGGATGATGAAATGTTCCAAATGATAAAAAGATAGATGCAGGAGAAGTATCTTCTCATCTTATATTTATATTCTGGATATGTTTTTCTTCTTTTCTGAGTCAAATGTGGGCGCTTGCGCGCGCATAGCTGTGAATTAGAACAATTGTCTTTCTAAGGAGAGCGTTTATAACAGCAATATGCTGAGCACTTGCATACTTTTGATCAGAATGGAATTCTCTTGTCTTATTCTCTTTGCTTTTTTAAGGTCTGATAAGCAAATGGCTGGTAAAAGGAGAATTCCAAAGAGGAAATTAAGATATGCAGAATCAGCATGTCTTTTTGAGGAATGTTTTCTAGCTTTCTAGTGGTATATTATTGGATTCTGGTATTCAGTGGTTAGAAATAAAAGACAACTTCCTAAGAGATGTCAAAATTATTGAAATTATTGCTTTCTTTGATGACCTTATCTTGGTTTGTGATATTTATATAATCAGAGGCGGAGCCAGGATTTGAAGCTTGTGGGTTCGGGATTCTAGTTCGTTTATGTTACTGTGTTCTAAATTAGTAACTTATACATATTCAATTAATTTTATAAGACAAATACATGGTTTAGATCTAAGTTACTAGGTTCGGCCGAACCTGCAAATACTATGCTAGGTCTGCCCCGGTTTATATTGCAGTATGCGTAGGTTGGTGGTCATAAAACCATAAGGATCTTTCATTGGTGCCTAAATCGTGCTGTAACGAATAAGCCCAAGCTTGATAAGAATGTGTATTAAGGTTGTTTGGTTCATGTACTAGTTATGCTGAAATTATTCATAATGATTGTTTATGCGGTGAATAATAATATTGATATTTTATACTATTGGGTGAATAATAATATAAGGAATGATATGTATGGATGACTTGCTTTAGGAACATTTTTGTTTCCTAAATGCGTTTGATAACATTTAATCCGCATAATCACAGGCATTTCCACAAAACTAATGATAATGAGTTACACTAGCCCTCTCTAAAGATTTTCCATACACACCCTTTTAACAGCCTGACCTTATGTGGATATCAAAAACTCATTAAAATGTTTGGCAGTAAGTTCCAAAAAAATAAACATCATTGCTTTAATCACTGTTCCTTCGTTTCTTTGTAATCCCACCTTTCGTATTGTACATTTATATGTCTCAGATATGAACATATATTAGTTCATAAAATTTGGTTTGATTATACATATAGTTTAGCACCTTAAGCTTATTGAAGCAGCTCCCATATCGGAAGATGCTAATAAGAAGACAGCAGAGAGTCGCTATAAAATCAAAGGCCCGTCATTTTGTTCTAGCATACCTTTCTCGGCCTTTTGGCTAAGATCAAGTGTAGTATCTGTTCTTATCAGTTTAATATCTGATATGTGGGCCATCGGCCCACATGATATTAACTCAATTCTTTAAGGGGGAGAGTCCATTAAGGTAGCTTGCTACATGGGTTCTCACGTGTCGCCCATGCGTTGCACTACTGCACGGGCCTGGCGCACCCCTCCAAATCAAGTTTAAGTCTTACAAATTTAATTATTTATATGATAGAAGAGGAAGAAAGTAAATTATGTTAATGTTTTTTTTAAACTTGTGCAGAAAATGCCAGTAGTGGTTTGGTATCAACAAGCAACTTTGATATCAGTAGCTTTGCTAAATATGTTTTCAGTAGTAATCCCCTCGAATAAATTGATTCAGTTGGTTCACCTCTCCAGTTTGTTGCTCCACCACAGCTTTGACAATATCTGCAACAGAAATCATGCCTACCACCTTTCCGTCTATCACTGGAACATGTCGTATGTGATGTTCTGTAATCATAAAACATTCGATCATTTTCCTTAAATCATATCCATTTCCATTAGTTGAACAAGTTGTAGTATTTACCACTCATGAGTTGCATCGCTTGAAGAATGTTTGTGTCGGATGTGACTGTTATGAGCTTGCTCTGTTGCAAAGGTAGGAATATTGAGCAGAAAAACAGAAATGAGATGGCCAAATAAACCAAGAAGACAATATATAGGGTACCTGCTCAGTCATAATATCTCCCACTCTTGTGTATTTAGATGATCTATCCTGCACAATTACCTTCCGCAGATAGTCTGCTCTCATTAAAAAAAACAAAAATCACATAATTTTTCGGTAAGAAACTCTTTGAAGTATAGATGAAGAAGTTCAACATTTTTATCTAATTGAGCAAAATGTCTATTGCTGCACAAATTGTGTAATAGAAAGTTTTGCAGTCTCGTCTATGTGACTTGGAAGGCTAATTACCTCTTTCTGTTATAATTCCAGCTATCAGTTGATTCTCTCCTGGCTTTAGAACCACCAATGATCCGATGTTATTGTCTGCCATCTACAAATTTGTCACCATCATCATATTAACAGTGTTATTTGTATGTCTATCACATAAATAAACATTGTTAACATTCTATGTTGATGTTGAAGTTTAGCAACATACTTGTTTGATAGCATCATAAGCTGTGTCATTTGTCCGACAACAAAGCCATGAACCACTTTCTTCTCCATCCTTTGTCAGTAATACATCAGATACTTTTGTATTCTCTAACCCTTTTTGCTGCATTGTGGACTGTGATACCATTATGGCATTGGCTTCCTTGTTTTGCATCGTGGGGAAGGAGATGACACGTCCAAATCTTGCGAATATTTTGTTCATCTCGCTTGTGCTTTTGAGCTGCGAGTTCTGTAGAATTGTAACCTTGAGCTTCTCATGACATGATCTAACCATTCGAAGAAGACCTTGCATTGTGTTTCTGTGATTATGGTACAACACTATCGATCAAATGCTTATAGGTCACTTGTTTGTATATACTAATGATTACACCATCGATCAAATGCTTATAGGTCACTTGTTTGTATATACTAATGATTATTGGTAAGTGCACTGCAAACGTGATAAAATGAACGCCCAGCTCCAAATTATTCGCTATATCTGTCTTTTTCATGAAATAATAAATGTGCTTTTATGTTTCCGTCAAAATGAATGTTGAGACATAAAGTAGTTCTCAGTGTTCACGAAGTAGCAGAGAAATGGAAGAACTTACCTTAAGATGAGGAAAAGAAATCTTCAACTGGCAATTTGGTCTCAGCTAATTGATTATACTGTACTTGATAGAGTCACAAGAGAAGGAAGAGCACTCTCCCCTTTGTCGTTTATATGATTTCCATTCTTGTGTTCTTTTCTTGACTAAATCAGTTAAGTCCATGTTTGTTAATGTGAATTTTGCTTCTAATGCTTTCCTTCTTGGAGAGGTAATCGACTATTTTAGAGGGACATAGCTTTTTAATTGCTGCTTTCTTTCACATTTGGCTTAGTTTCTTCTTTTTCCCTCTTCCTTTGCTTCATGCAGAGATATTCTTTAACAGGGAAATATAACTATTTGCCTTCATATTGCTAGCTTTTGCAACCGTTAAGAGTTATTGATTGTCTGGTTGTGGAATTTCTGTGAAATCCAAGTTACATTCAAAAAAGAATATTATGAAAAACGTTGTGCAAAAAATGGTTTTAAGTGGATTATGCTAATGCACACAGAGAAGAAACGAAGTTAGATTCTAACCTCAACCATAAGGCAAATTTCATTATAGGAATTCCAGAGAAAAGTTGCCTGCGGTGAGAGGAAAAGAAGCAAAAGGTGAAGGTAAGAAGGGAAGCTGAGACATTCTAAAGTCTTCAAATGTTCAAAGGTATCAAAAGCAAACCTTTATATAGTGATGCTTCTAACTGGCTGCATATCATCATCAGACAATTGAACATCAAATTTCTTTTGCTTCATAACATTTATCCTAGTAAAATGGAACGACGATCCACGTTCCGCTTCCGTCTTCCTTGGTCACAACCTGCACCTACTCCATCTCCAGCTCCAACACCTGCAAGCAAACCATCTACTCATCCAACAAGTCGCGCTCCCACAACTCGTACTGGCTCAAGAGCTGCTTCACAGCCCTCCTGCAGCAGTACGCCGTCCTCCAGTCCTACAACTGAAAACCCAACTCGCAAGCAGCCACCAAGCGCCACCTCAACCGCAACATCTGCTAAGCCTTCTTCACCAGCTCAACCTTCAACTGGCACTCAAGGCCGTAATGATGCCCCTACCAGTACAACCACCCCAATACCAACATCTCCGACGCCTCTACCTCAGCCCTCAGCTGAAATGAACGCACCTAGCCAGCCCTCTACCAGAAGCACAAGCCCTTTAACTGAAACTACCCCAGTTCCTCCTCAACCTTCAGCTGAAAGCAAAGCCCCTATCCAGCTCTCCACCACAAGCACAAGCCCTTTAATTGAAACTACCCCAATTCCTCCTCAACCTTCAGCTGAAAGCAAAGCCCCTAACCAGCCATCGACCTCAAACTCTACACCAGCAAATGTCTGAAACTCAAACCCCTACCTGTTAAGTTGATTGTTTGCAGAAATTGAAAAGGAAAAGAAGTGAAAGAAAACCCTGAATCGGGTGAGGTAAGAGAAGAAGAAGAGAGTTGTTATTTCATCAATAATCTGGAATGTCCCGTACAATTGTATATCTTGTCCCCTTACTAATAGAAAATGGGCCTAATATACTAATAACCAAAGAAATCAGTACAAATGAAATGGGCCAGCTGTACATAATGGGCCCAGAACTACTTATCAACTATTGGGCCTCTTCACATGTGCTCCATATATCTCAACACCCCCACTCAAGCTTGGGGTGTCACTCAAGCTTGAGGGTGTTGACACCCCAAGCTTGCCAAGGAGATGATGATGAGTGGTGCCTGGAAGGGACTTGGTGAGAATGTCAGCAAGTTGAGCAGAAGAAGATACATGATGTAAAGTGATGAGACCAGATTGTATGCTATCCCGAACATAGTGGCAATCAACCTCAATGTGTTTAGTGCGTTCATGGAAGACCGGATTCTTGGCGATATGCAAAGCAGCTTGGCTATCACAAAACACAGGAACAGGACTGGAAATAACCAACCCAAGATCAGCCAATAAGCGAACAAGCCAAGAAATTTCAGCAACCACTTTGCGTAGAGCTCGATACTCTGCCTCAGCAGAGGAGAGAGAGATAGTGGGTTGTTTCTTGCTTTTCCAGGAGATAGGGCAGCCCCCTAAAGTAATATAATACCCAGTAACAGACCTCCGAGTCTGGGCACAAGTGGCCCAATCAGAATCAGAATAAGCCAAGAGGGAAAAGTCAGTAGACTTAGGAAGGAAAATACCCAAATCAGGAGCTTTCATCAGATACCTCAAAACATGTATAGCAGCTAGAATGCGAGGAACTTGAGGAGCTTGAAGAAACTAACTAAGATGTTGGACTGAATATGCAATATCAGGCCTTGTATGGCACAAGAAATTAAGCTTGCCCACAATCCGTCTGTAGATGCTAGGATCAGAAAGGGGCTCTCCCATAGCAGAAGAGAGTTTGATGGAATGATCAAGAGGAGTATTGACAGGGGTGAAATGATCACAGTGAAACTCTTCTAAGAGATCAGATGTAAATTTGTGCTGACACATCAAGAAACCTTGGGGTTGTTGTATAATTTCCAAACCCAAGAAGTAGTGAACAGAGCCTAAGTTTTTGATTTTGAAAATAGCATCCGGAAAAGCCTTAAGAGCATCCAATTCAGAAGTATCATCTCCTGCCAATAGAATGTCATCGACATATACTGCCAGGACAGTCAGGGAGCCCCCAGAAGTCTTAGTGAACAATGAATAATCAATTTTGCTAGATAGGTAACTTCTGGAAACCAAAGCTTCAGACAATTTAGAGAACCACTGTCTGGAGGCTTATTTGAGGCCATAGAGAGACTTTTTGAGCTTGCAAACTAGTGGAGAAGAGGAGGAAGAATAACCAGAAACCACTAGACCAGGAGGCAGCCTCATATAAACCTCTTCATGGAGATCACCATGAAGAAAAGCATTGTTGACATCTAGTTGATAAACAGTCCACCCCTTTTTAGCAGCAAGAGAGAGCATGCACTTAATAGTAGTGAATTTATCAACTGGGGAAAAAGTCTCATTGTAGTCTATCCCTTCCTTTTGTGTGTCAACCCTTATGACTAATCTGGCTTTGTATCTTACAACAGTGCCATCAGATTTCTTTTTAATTTTGTACACCCACTTACAAGGAATGGGTTTCTTGTGAGGAGGGAGAGGAACAATATCCCAAGTATGGTTAGCTTCAAGAGCTTGGAACTCTTTTAGCATGGCTTCTTGCCAAGCAGGATGTGAGACAGCTTGCTGATAATAGTGGGGTTCCTGCAACTGTAGCTCAGTAGTAGAAATCTTTGAATTTGTAGAAACAGGGCAGGCAGGAAGAACAGAAGAACAAATATAGTCTGATAAGTAGGAGGGAGGGTTGGAAACCTTAGTAGAATGCCTAACCGGCAAGGTGGGAGAAGAAGAAGGTGCAGGATTAGTGGGAGGAGGAGAGGTAGAGGAAGAAACAGGTATGACAGGAGGTTCCTGATGGTTGGAGGAAGAAGGAGAGAAATCAGAAGGAGGTGCAGTAGGTAGCACAAGATCAGAATCAGGAGAGACAGAATTAGAATCGGGAGAAGGTGATAAGGGAGTAGTGGAAGAGAGAAAAGGAGGAGAATCTTCAAATGAAACAGAAGGAGGAGGAAAAACAGAAGAAGATGGGGCAGAGGAATATGGAAATATGTGCTCATGGAAAACTACATCTCTGAAAAAAAACACAGAATGAGTAGAGAGATTAAGCAACTTATATCCCTTTTTCCAAAGAGGGTAACCAAGGAAAGCACAAGCAACAGCTCTAGGCTGGAATTTGTCTCTCCCAGGTTTAGGGGTAGTTGCAAAACAAAGGCAACCAAATGACTTCAGGTGGTCATATGCTGGAGGGGTTCCATGTATTTTTCAAAAGGAGTAGTATTACCCAAGACTGATGAAGGTAGTCTATTGACAATGTAAGTGGCAGTTAATACACATTCACCCCAATACTTGGTAGGGAGTTTAGATTGAAACAAAAGGGCTCTGGAAGTTTCCAAAAGATGTTTGTGTTTTCTTTCGACCACCCCATTTTATTGTGGGGTATGAGAGATAGTGGCTTGGTGTAAGATACCATTATCAGCAAAGAAGGATATAGCCTCTGAACTACTACCTAATTCAAAAGCATTGTCTGATCTAAAAGATTGAACAGAAGACTGGAAATGAACTTTGACCATCATAGTGAAAGCTTTGATAACAGACAAAGCATTGCCTTTGGAGGATAATAAATGTGTCCAGGTGACTCTAGTAAAATCATCTACCAAAATGATGAAATATCTGAAACCATTGTATGTGTTAGTGTGGTAGGGTCCCCATATGTCTATATGGACTAACTGGAAGGGTACAGTTGAAAGAATGTGACTATTATGGAAAGGTAGTCTTTGTTGTCTAGCCATAGGACAAATAGAACATATAAATGATTGTTTAGAAGATACTTGAGTAGACAAACATGGAATAGATTTCAGCTTATGAAATGGTACATGGCCTAATCTTTGATGCCAAAATAGATCCATTTTATTGATAGTACTAGATGGGTTACAAGTAGAACTGGGAAAACTAGGAATAACATTTGCTGTAGGAAAATTACAAACAGTAGAACAAGAAACATTAGAAGTAAGGGAAGGGTTAACCATGTCAAGTAGCAGAAAATAGAGCCCATGAGCAGCTTTACCAATTTCCAATGGCCTCTTCAGAGAAGGGCCCTGTAGAAAACAGGAGAAACTGCTGAATATTGCTAGACCTTTCAATTGACAAAGAAGTTGATGTACAGAAATTAAATTGAATTGAAAGGAAGGAACCAAAAGAACATTGTGTAAAGTTATATCCTGCCTAAGGTGCAGGGATCCAGTAGAAATAACTTTCACTTTATATCCATTTGGCAAGGTGATTAAGTAAGGGGAAGTTAGATGTTTAATATTGTGTAAAAACTGTTTGTAAGGGGTCATATGGTTTGTTGCACCTGAATCTAAAATCCAAGGAATTTTTCCTAACTGAGCAGACAAGGAATGTATAACAGAATTTACTGCTGGGAACTGATCTACAGGGAGATTGCACACACCTGCAAAGTTGGCAAAACCAACATTTTCTCCAGGAGAAGTGGACTGAGGATAACCAGAAGAAATATTTGCCTGTTGGAAGAGAGTCATGAGATGTTCATATTGCTCCTTGCTGAAACCATAAGCAGAGTCTGAAGAATTGTTGCTAGAGCCAGCAGCAATCAAGTTCCTTGGAGAAGAATCCCCCACTTGAACACATGCAGCAGACTTCTTGGACTTGGTGGACTTGAAATCAGCTGGGAAGCCATGAAGTCTATAGCATTTGTCTATACTATGCCCAGGCTTCTTGCAATATTTGCAAATTACATGAGAGGTAGGCCTCTTGGACTCAAAATTTACCCTCTGATTATATGACCTATTTGTGGAGGAGGATATTCCAGATGAAGCAGAGAATGAGGCTGCTGAATCAGCTGAAAACCCAGGGGCTATGGACTTAGTTTCCTTTTGACTTTCATCTTGTTGTAAAAGGGAATAGGCTTTGCTGATGCTTGGATAAGGGGACATCATTAAGATGCTACTTTTGACTGTGGAATAGGACTCATTTAACCCACTGAGAAACTGGAACAAGTGTTGGTTCCTCACTGAATTTAGGAAGAGCACCACATGAACATGTTGGTCCAACATAAGCAGAATTAAGCTCATCCCAGAGACTTCTCATTCTGGTAAAATAGCTGGCTATATCAGATGTCCCTTGAGAGGTGCTCTACTAATTTCCCTTTGAATTTAGATACACTTGGAACCATTTGACTGACCATACCTATCATTTATGTCTCCAGACTTCACTAGCAGTATTGAAACACATAACACTCACAGCAATTTCTCTACTCAAGGAGTTAGTAATCCAAGCTTTTACCATGTTATTACAACGTTCCCAAAAGGAGTAATAAGGAGAATCAAGTTAAGGTTGAGGTATCCTACCAGTTACCAAACCTAATTTGTTTTTAGCTGAGAGAGAAGTCAACATACTGCTACGCCAAATAACAAAACCAGTTCCATCAAAGGGAATAGTGACTAATTGACTACCAGGACTGTCAGATGGATGAATATAGAAAGGATGACAAGGATCAAGAGTAAATTCAGCAAAACCTTCAGAACTAGTTGTGGTACGACGAAGCTCCTCAGTCAAATTCTCATTATCACTCATTGTAACTAATCAATTCAACAATAAAGTTTCAACAAAAAGAATATCCGTAGAGTTGTGAATTCACAATAGATGTAACCCTAGAAATCAGCTCAAATCGAACATGCAATCAGGAAAATGAGAAAAGTTTACCAATCGTCTGCAAAATCGAAAAGGTAAAGAATAACGAAGATCAAATTTGAAATCCTGAGAGCGAAAAGACCTAATTTTTTTTCTTTCACTGCCATAGAATCACCGCACCGAGAAAATCTCCAAAACTTCGTTCAAGGCTAGGATCGGACGATAGCTGAGGTCGAGATCGCTCCAATAAATCCCGCTCTGATACCATGTTAAGTTGATTGTTTGCAGAAATTGAAAAAGAAAAGAAGTGAAAGAAAACCCTGAATCGGGTGAGGTAAGAGAAGAAGAAGAGAGTTCTTATTTCATCAATAATCTGGAATGTTCTGTACAATTGTATATCTTGTCCCCTTACTAATAGAAAATGGGCCTAATATACTAATAACCAAAGAAATCAGTACAAATGAAATGGGCCAGCTGTACATAATGGGCCCAGAACTACTTATCAACTATTGGGCCTCTTCACATGTGCTCCATATATCTCAACACTACCACTACCATAAGCACCACCCCAACATCCACTATAGCTCAGAGCGGACCATCTAGTCCTCCAGGAGTTTCTCCCTCACCCTCTTCTCAAATTCGGGCATCCAGAACTGAGTCTCAACCATTGATACCATCTCAAGAACAGCAAGGGATCAGTTCTTAACCAGCCTCACCATCTGATGTGCCAACCACTCTTACCTTTGATACCTGGGATCAGTCAAGTATCGCCAGGGGATCAGTTTTGAAGCCCATTCCGTTTCTTTCACTTGAACTATACTCCCCAACACGCAAGGATCCCCAAGTCCTCTCAACGGACCAATTAACCTCAAAGGTACCTCCTCATGCAAGCCAGAGTATTTCTTCAAATCTTCAATCTGGTATAACCTCTCAAATGCAACAAAAGGATCAGACAATTGCTCAGCCAACATCTCCACTGAAACAATTAGACAGCTCAGAACCTTCTTCCAAATCCACTGAAGCACTTACATCAATTTATGGAAAAGAACCAAAGCTCACAGCACTTCGGCCACAGTCAGAACAAATGGAGCTTCCCAAGAAGGAGACCATATGTGACACTGAAGCAAAAGTTAGGTCACATGAAAAAATAATGCAACCTTTAAAACTATCAGAGGTGAAATCCACTAGAGGCATTACCGAAGAACCATCCCAGATATCAGACTCTTCAGGAATCAATGGCAAACCTAAGATGGTGACACAGTCAGAGACAAAAATCCAGGAAACTAGAGAAGTGAAGGAAGTTGTGCAAGAGATGAGGGATAAAAACTATGGTACAGGAGAAAATATTGGTGGTTTCCTGACATCCAAAAAGCAGACAGGCATTGTTTTTCAATCAAAGCAAGCCAGTTCTGATAATAATCAGATTCGGGTGAACCCTGTCTCTAACAGAAAACATACAAGAACAGTTTTATCTCAGCCAAAGAACAAAACAGTTGCCAGTAGTTCCAGTAAGGAAACTGCGGTTTCCACTGAACAAGACATACCCCTTAACAAAATGGTAAAAGATAACATCTCGAAGTTTATTCATAGAATGGCAATTGGAGATGGCAAGAAAAATTTGGAAGAGGGACCGGGGAGTGTGATCACACTTGCAGGTGATAATAGAGGAGCATCTATGCAACTTGGTTCTGACTCATCCAGAAAAGAAGGGGCAATCCACATTCGCAGAGGCTATCCAGATGAAAGTGCCGATGCAACTACAGATGCAGAGGGAAATTCAGAGGGAAGACGACCAAAAGATGTAAGGACCATGGAAGGTCAAGAAATAGAGGCATATCTAAACTGCAACGTGCAGGGCATGAACAACTCAATTACATTTGACAGTGCCATTGAGGCAAAAAATTCAGGTATACATATGTTGTTCCCTCGTATGCCTTCAGAACCTATAAGATCAAGTGAGAGAACAGGACCCTTTGAGGCACACAAGGCTAAATTTAATGTAACCCCTGCCCAGAAACTTACATACGAGCCAAAGATCAGAAGAAGATGCCTCAAAGGCCTTTTCCTTGAACCAAGTGATTCTGATCCAGATAACCCTGGTTGCCATGTTGGCTGCATGGAGAAGAGTAATGATGACGAGATAGAGATTTTTTGAAAACTACAGTTGTAATACATGTAATTGTTAAAAGTTAAAATCCTTTTGTACATACTCAATAACCTCTGTTTAAAGCAACTGCACTTGAGATGGCTGTGATATATGAAACATGATAGTTATGAAATGTTGTTCTACTTCCTCGTTTTGATGTGCATATGTGAATACTAGCCAAATCTGATTAAAAGGGCAGCCCGGCGCACAAAGCATTCCGCGTTCACGCAGGATCCGGGGAAGGGCTGCAACCCTAGGGGGTGTGATGTAGGCAGCCTACCCTAATGCTTGGCAAAATCTGATTAGCCAAAATCTGATTAAGAGAGAAAAATAGGGAAAGAAGATAAAAAGGGAAAAAAAGAGAGGAGAAGATAGAACGTCACTATGTTAGTTAAAGGGCAAATTACTTCTTGCGAACTGACAGAATTTTCGAGTAAGTACAGCATGCTGAAGAATACAACAGAATTGCCACTTTTGCAGGCAAAATACTGCATGCACTAGAAGCATATCAGCCAAATTCCTACTAGACAACAACCTATGCCTCCTATGCCTGCACATAAAAGATCCTTCCTAAGGAGAGGGCTAAAAAAAAGTATATATACGCAATTTTCAAGACAAAAGCACAAAATGGCATGTAATAGTAGCCAAAAGAAAAAGGAAAAAGAGGCTACTCGCAAGCAGGTTTGGTGTCAAAGCTACTTAAACAGATTGCAAATGCTTGGAACGTCGATAGGGGGTAGTGGTAATCAATGGTGAAAATGTCTTTCCCTATCTTCCCAAATTGCAAGATTTCTTTTGTTAGTTCGGTGATTGGGATGCCCTGGGATGTGCCGGAGGAGGCCACCAGCTGAAAATTCTTGACAGAGGCCACTGTAACACGGCCTTTAAAATTCAGACACCAACATTGCAATTGTTCATGCCATCTTGGAGCTTTATTCCTCAAAATTAAAGGTTCTGTATTCTTTTGAATTGTTTCAACTGGCTCATCGAAACAACTACAAATAGAATCTTGGACTGTCCTATTTGAAACTGCTGATACTAAAGATGAATTGCACTGAACGTGTTCTTTGAACGTAGGACATTGACTTCATAAGAAATGGTACCCACATTGTGATTTCCAAATAACTGCTTTGGCTCTACCTTCTTCATAGCAAACTTTTTATGTAACACACCACTGGACTGGATCAATAAATTGCATGGTGGCTGAGTGTCATAAGTGACAAACTTAGTCCCGAGAAAATTATACCTGATCAATGGAAGCAATTAGTAGCAGGAGGACAATCTGGCCTTTTTTTCTTAAGACAAAGAATAAGATGAAGCTTCATACCAACCTTAACTTCCCAACATAACAATCACTTGCCCGGGAAAAATCATCTTTCGACATGGATATTAAGAAGTCAGTGCATGTGGCCCTTCTAATCTTCTTTGCCGTCAGTAGCAATTTACTGGCATCCCCTGAAAGAGCTGAATATGTTGAAATCATCAGACCTATATAAGATAATTTCTCACAAGTTATCATCTGAATCATCAAGATGGTGTAATAACAGTGAGACAGAAGAGTAGCGTTCGATAAGGTATCTTGAGCTGGAATCAATGATATCAGGAAGAGATGTAGGAACTGAATCACAACTGGAGGGAGAAAAAGTACAAAGTGCATACATTTTCTATTTATTAGGAAAGCAACGAGATTGACCACAAATATAATTAGAAAGTCAGAGTAATAAACTTGAATTGATAGATCAAGAACAAAGTGGAGGGCGAGAGTATCATAATTTACCAGGACTCAGGACAAGATATAATCGGAAAGTTGATGTTGCCCTTCCACTTTTTATAAAGCACTGAATTGGACAACATCTAGGCCCAGGCTAACAGGAATTCAAGAAGTGAAATCAGGGTCAGTTTGCTAATAAACAGCTAAACAAACAAGAAAATAATGCAACATCCAATCTACCTGCTTCAATGACGTAGGAAAAGTCAGCAGCCCACATCGTTCCGGAGTTCTAACAACCTCCTTGGTTGTTTCCCTCCAGGACCGGCACACAGAGGCACAAGTAACTACATCTCTACGGGCAGGCCATGTTATCTCACTTGCCTCTATTTGCTGGATTACGTCAAGCAGCAGTTCAGGTGGCAAACTCGCCCTCAGCCTTTCTTGAACGAATATACATGGAGAGGATGTTAACCTCTCAGGAGCCACATATGACCTGCCAAGGCTCAATACACACTTCCTCTCAGCTTGCTTTTTTGATTTGCTATCTACATTATCTCCTACCCCCTTAAGCTCATGAATAATTGATTTCATCGCCATTTCATTCCCTTGACTACTCGTATGCTGAGTAATAATCATGGAATCAAAGGATACAAGTAATGTTGAACTAACAAAAGGAACATCAAAGTCTACATACCACACTACTGAATATGCGAAAGAGTTGCCTCCAACTCCAATTTTTGCAACCATTTTACCTCAAGCTTAGTTCTTGATGTTCAAATTCGAGTCAATTACTCAAATGGTTACTCAACTATCCCAAATTATCTCCTAAAGTCACTTTTCTTTAGTTTGTAACAACAAAGTCACTGAACTATGCCTATTGCACTCAGAACGTCACTCAACTAGATTTTCCAAATTTTGGATTGCCAAATACCTATTTTACCCTCTAAATTATAAACATTTATCTTCTTTTTATTTTTTTAACTTTTTAATATTATGATTTTTTCCTTTTTAATTTATATTACAGACTTACCTATAGAATAAATAAAAATTATTTATAAATTAAAAAAATAAAAAGTATTTAAGCATCTATAATGCTGGAATAACAAAATAATGAGCATAGTAAAAAAATTAATTAGAGTAATTTGTTCGTAATAATAATTTTAGTATTAACAACAAATATTCAAAAATTTATTTACACAATTCAGAATGAAAAAAAATAAAGGTTGTAAAATATATATTCCATGCACGTAATATAAGAATAATTATTTAAATAAAGGTATTTTTATAATATACATTATATATTCTTGAAAATTAGGCTCAATTATATTATTATGTTTCTACCAACTTTCCGACGACACAAAGTTATGTCACCGGAAAGCAGGAGGACTATCTGTATAGGGTAAAATATGCTATGTTAAGTCATGCATGGCAGAGGCGTATCCAGGATTTTGAGAGGATGGGTGCACTATTAAAAAGAGGTGTATCCAAAATATAAATTTATGGGTTCAATATTTTTAGTTCTTACGATTGCTACCCATTACACTTTTGGAATTATAAGTTCAATTTTTTTTTTTAAATAGTAATTTTCTTACATCTATATTTATTTTTCATGTTGAAAATATTGGGATCAGTTGAACCCATTGACTATATGCTACATCATACACTACTTCTAGTTTTAATATGCATATTTTGTTTAATCATATAAGATTTTATATCGACAAAAGAAGAACAGAAATTTCAATGTGTGAAAATTTTGAAGAATAAACCAAACAAAAAGAAATAAAAAGAAAAAGTACTTAAAATACGCAATAAATAACACCAGACATGCCCATCTCCCGTGGGCGTCTAGTTCCAGAAAAAAAAAAAGAGGAAAAAACAATAAGATTGACATAAGATTTGAACTCACAACCTCACATAGAGAGATACACCCAATAACCAATCACATTATATAATACTTTGAGCATGAGTGCACAAACATATATTTAAAAATAATAAAAAAAATATAACATTGCTATACATGATTTAGGGAGGGGATCATGGGTTCACGTGCCCCATGGAACCCCCCTTAGATACGCCCCTGGTGCATGGAATATATATAATATAATTGAGCATAATTTTCAAGAATATATAATGTGTATTATAAAAATACCTTTATTTAAATAATTACTTTTATATTATGTGCATGAAATATATATTTTACAACCTTTATTTTCTTTCATTCTGAATTGTGTAAATAAATTTTGAATTTTTTTTGTTAATACTAGAATTATTATTACTAACAAATTATTCTAATTAATTTTTTTTACTATGCTCATTATTTTATTATTCCAGCATTATATATGCTTAAATAGTTTTTATTTTTTTAATTTATAAATAATATTATTTATTCTATAGGTAAGTCCATAATATAAATTAAAAAGGAAAAAATTATATTATTAAAAAGTTAAAAAAAAATAAAAAGAAGATAAATGTTTATAATTTAGAGGGTAAAATAGGTATTTGGCAATCCAAAATATGAAAAATCTAGTTGAGTGACCTTCTGAGTGCAATAGGCATAGTTTAGTGACTTTGTTGTTACAAACGAAAGAAAAATGACTTTAGGAGATAATTTGAGATAGTTGAGTGACAATTTGAATAATGGACTCTGCAAAGAAGCTTTTAAATTGAAAATAATAGCCACATTATCTAACACTTCTTATCCAAACAAACTATTACTACTATAAAATCCAAATCTTGCGAATACTTTGTTCATCTCACTAGTGCTTTTGAGTTGCGGGTTCTGTAGAATTGTAACCTTGAGCTTCTCATGACATGATCTAACCATTCGCAGAAGACCTTGCATTGTGTTACTGTGATTATGGTACAAAACTATCAAATGCTTATAAGTCACTTGTCTGTATCTGGTAACTGTAGAGATACTAATGATAATTGGTAAGTACATTACAGACGTGATAAATGAACGTCCAACTCCAAATTATTCGCTATAGCTGTCTTTTTTTCAAGAAATAATAAATGCTTTTATGTTTGCCTGTGTTGTGTTCATCAAAATGAATGTTGAAACAAGGAACGGGCTGTAGAATATGCCATGTGAAAGTAGTTCTCAGTGTTCATGAAGTAGCAGAGAAATGAAAGAACTTACCTTAAAACGAGGAAAAGAAATCTTCGAATGGCAATTTGGTCTGATTGATTATATTGTACTTGATAGTCACAAGAGAAGAAAGAGCACTCTCCCCTTTGTCGTTTATATGATTTCCATTCTTGTGTTCTTTTCTTGAACTACTAAATCAGGAAAGACCAT